TAATTCATTGTTTTATTGGTCTTAGCTTTTAGCTACTGTTGTGCTAATTTAGGTAATTAATTGTTTTATTGATCTTAGTTTTTAGCTGCTTTTGTGCTAAATTTAGATTTCATTAATTGTTTTATTGGTCTTAGCTTTTAGCTACAGTTGTTCTAATTTATGTTTGTTAGTATTTTGTTGGTTTTAACTTTTAGCTACTGTTTTATCTTCTTGAGCTTTTAGCTACAATTTGTTCATTTTAGCTTTTCGCTGCTATTTTGCTCATTTTAGCTTCTGTTATGCTTGTTTTAACTTCAACAGCTCAATTTTGGCGTTTTTGCTGAAAGTCCTTTAGCACTTCACATTCACACCACACTTCACATAAAATGCACATTTTTCCCTTTATTTCAATTTGTTTTTGTTTTTTTTGTTAAGTTTCATCCAAAACAGTGAAAATGTACAGGTACAAGTTAGAAAATTATTAAGACAGAATCCCAAAAAAATAAAAAATACAGAATCCAATCCTTTTTTTGCCTCTTTCTACATTTCATTATCTACGTCTAGTGAATAAAGGTCATAAAAGCTGTAAAACAATAAGAAATACACTGAACAGAGACGGTCCAACAGCTGGTTCCAGATGTCAGATCAGTCGTCGGCATCGTGTTGCACGTTTTGTTTCGGGGCACGCTGCAGCTCGTTTGGCATTTACAGCCGAGGTAATCACAGGTGGCTGTGAAATTCTGGGTGGACACCTGTTAGTTGTTCATGTCACAGTTGTACCGTCTGACATCCACAAAGCATTGACTCAGTTTCTGGCGGTGCGTCGTGCTGAGAGGTGGATGTGTTGACGGGGGGTGGGGGTGTGGATGTTGTGGCTGTCTGACAGTGAAAGCTCCACTCGCTGTTTCTCAGCAACAGAACCAGCGGTTTGTTCCTGTGGTTCATATCCACGGTAACAAGCTCCAAATGTTATATTTAGCAGGGTTTGCACTGATGTGCATAAATAAAACGATTCAGCGAGGCAAACCTAAAGACTCAGTTTTCCATCAGTGAGAACGTTGTTGCCTGACCTCAGAAATCAGACTGCGCTGATGCCGAGTCACTCGCACGAGGACATTTTCCTTGAAGCCTCCAGCGCTGTTACCACAACACAATAAAAAACATCAACGAATACAGATCTTTAAAAGATGCAAAATGAAATCGCCTTCAGCAGCTGAAAATACTCAGTGACGATCTGATCTGGACAAATGTCGTGGCTTTTCAGTGGGAGGAAACAAATCCGAGGACTGTCAAAGAAAACTACTGATATTAGGAACATCAAAAAACACTCTGAATACATACTGCGAATGACTCTCAGCTACTACCACACCAAATATTTCTTCAAGTTATAGCCGTTTTTGTGTTGGCTCAAGTTGAGCTTGAATCGGGTAGACCCTAAAAGTTCGTCTGGACCTCTTCTTTGATTCTTGAACACTTTTCACTTCTCATCCAAAACACTTCTTCAGAGTCAGAGATTCTTTATTGTCATTCCACCTCATGTGGTACATGTGGTGGAGCGAAATTATGTACACGGGGTCCCAGTTACATCCAACAATAAAATGTATAAGAAAAACAGTAATGACATCTAAGATATGAACTAAGAAAAACATCAACTAAATATACACTAAGCACTCATAACATAAAACATTGAACATCAGCACAAACATGAACATGAGTCTGTGAGCAGATGTGCACGCATGAACACATCAACATTGAAACAGATCAGCAGCAACATGAAACAGATCAGCAGCAACATGAAACAGATCAGCAGCAACATGAAACAGATCAGCAGCAACATGTGGTTTTCCACAGTGATTATTCTAGTTAGAGATTCATGAGTCTAACAGCCTCAGGGTAGAAGCTGTTCCTCAGTCTAGTGGTTCTACACTTAATGCTCCTTAACCTCCTTCCTGAGGGGAGTGGGGCAAAAAGTGTGTGTGCTGGGTGAGTGGGGTCCTTCATGATGCAGGTGGCCCTCTTCCTGCATCTGGAGGTGTAGATGTCTGTGATGGTGGGGAGGCTGACTCCAACATCTTCTGTGCAGCCTTCACCACTCTCTGCAAAGCTTTTCTTTCTGCAGCTGTGCAGCCTCCATGCCACACATTGATGCTGGAGCACAGGATGCTCTCCACTGCACACCTGTAGAAGGAGGTGAGGACTGAGCTTCCCAGACCAGCTCGCCTCAGCCGTCTGAGGAAGTAGAGTCTCTGATGAGCTTTCTTCATCAGGCTGGTGGTGTTGATGCTCCAGCTGAGGTTGTTGTTCAGGTGCACACCCAAGTACTTGTAGCTGGAGACCACTTCCACCGCAGATCCTCTTATGTTTAGGGGGGTGTAGGTGTGTTTGTTCCTTGTGAAGTCCACGACCATCTCGTTCATCTTCTTCACACTGATGTGAAGGTTATTCTCTCTGCACCAGCTCTCCAGGTGTTCCACCTCTTGCCTGTAGCTGGACTCATCGTTGTTTGTGATGCATCCCACCACCGCTGTATCTGTAAACTTTACAACGTGACCGCCTGGATGGGTAGCTGCACAATCATACGTATATGTGGAAAGAGCCACAGAACATCAAATAAGACAGATCAGACTCCTGTTGATGAACCTGCAACCAAGAAAATATTAAGTTAATGAATCAGCTGAAAGTGGCTCATGGCTCAAAGTTTTTAAATTGTAGCTCCTTTTGGTAACTGAGTTCGACACCCCTAACCAAACCAAGTAAAGGTGTAAAATAATTAATTTGATGTACAGAGATCCCTGGACTACCCTGGTGTGAAGGCACCTTCATGCATGTAGCCAAAACAACTCTTGTGAACGTACAAGACCCTGATTTCAACTCGCATTAATGGAGCGCCTAACTTTTAAAAGTCTGGAACGCCACACTTTTGTTTTGAACTGAAAAAGCTCCTCGTATTAAAAGTGAAGCGTCTCAGAAACCGAAGTCCAGCAGCCGTATGTAATGAAATTACACAAATACTTAAATTTTATGTAATAAAATTAGGAGTTCGGCCTTCTTTTCACCTCTGCCTTGGAGTGAAACATCTCAGTTTACTTGAGAGCAGAACTTCTTGTTAAGTAACGTCTGTGTCCATGCCGTGGTAGAAAAACCCTAAACCTGTCTGCGAGCTGAGAAAAGCTGAGATCTAATCAGTCCGACCACAGAGAAACTGGCACTTTGAACCAGTATAACTGAATTAGTGCCTCGGCCCTGTTGGATTTGTGTCCCGTGTTGTTCTAGCTGGAGTTGCGCTCCAGTCTCGGCCTTGTGGCCCTTTGCCCTGCACCATAATGTGGAGCGCCTGGTGTTACGCCCGAGCAGAGTGTCGGTTCACGTTACGCTGCCTTCACGCTCCGAAGCCACGGCTTCATGTTTTGGCTGGAGCTCATCAGTGTAATCAGCTGGTCAGCACATATTAACCTCTCGCTTTTGGAAACTTCTTCTAATCGACGTGGACCTTTTAGCTGCTCCTTCACACCGGAGGGCAAACATGGAAAATGTTCCCCGTCTCTGCTCTTGCAGAGTTGCGGGGAAGATTATCGGTTTATTTTAACAACACGAACAAAACAAAGTGCACGTTTTTTATTTTCACGACTAGTAAAACTCAATGTTGTCAGTAGCTGAGTCGTCCCCATCACATTCTGACAAATTCTGCAAAATCAAACGTTTTTAATAAAACGTTGATGTGATTTGGTTTAAAGCAACCTTCCTTTGACACGTCAGCGACGTGCTGGTGCCACGAACATTTCAAACATTGCTGCTCTTTTTTCCCCACTAAGCTGAAAGTTTAATCCCGTCTTGACTGTCTGTGCAACAATGTTCTGGAAAACGTATTTCACCACCAAGGGCGGGCCTCAACAACAGCTCCACAGGTGGGTTCTCCCTCCTCGTTGTTTTATAGGGCAGCCATTTTGGATTAATCTCCTTCTCTTGTGCTTCCTTATCAAAGACTTGATGCTCTTTATCATTGTCAAGTATCTAACACGGCCCCGAGATAAAGATATTAATTAACTTTCCGGCAAAACAACATCCTCAAACGCGGCGGGAGTTCTCCTCAACCGATCTTTAATTCCTACGAACAAAAAAAGATGACGCTCTAATGACAAACTCTGCAACGTGTTCAGTTCTGAGATGGTATAAAACCCAGAGACACGACGTTGGGACAGCAAAGCGACGCTTCTGGAAGGAAAAATCATCCGGCTGAAGCGAACCTCCTGGAAGATCTCAACCATGAGACAGTGGCTCGTGTCGGTCGTCTTCACCGCGGCTCTCTTGTTCGAGTACAACGCTCTGTCGCTGGCGTTACCGGCGGGTAAAACTGAAGACGGCTCCATGGAGCAGGACGTCTTCACCTCGCTGCTGAGCAACGAGGTGGCGGAAAACAACCTGGCCGACGCAGATCTGACAAAAGCCCGAACTTCGAGGGTGATCGTGGTCGCCGCCGATCCCAGCGTTTGGAGGGACCTGAGGGTTCAGAACGGACTGTCCATCTACAAGAGAAGAGCCGACGACAGCAGCCAGCAGCCGAACATCCCCATCCTGAGGAGGGACACCATGAGGTGCATGGTGGGGCGCGTCTACCGACCCTGCTGGGAGGTCTAGGACAGTTCTCTTCGACACCACCAAACTCCAGACAAGAAAGAAGTCCTTTCCTGCCTCACGTTACGTTGTGACATGAGATATATGTGATTATTTAAATTACAACAGATGTGTGAATAAATGCAACAAACTTCTGAGTTTTTGTCGTTTGGCTGCTGCTTTCTGTAAAAACTGACGACGAAGTTTAAAAGAGTCGTTTGGATCTGTTCTGGCTGGTGTTGTGGAATCAGTAACACCAACTAATGTCTTACCTGTTGAAGATGGCTCTTTGGAAAACGTTTGCAGAAATGGATTTTCTGACAAGCGTTTAAGGTTAAAATAGATTGTTTGCGTCTTAAAACTGCTCAAATATTTATCACCTGTCGCCAGAGGAAACGAAGGTCGACAAAAATGTTGTTGACAATGCCGTGAGCCGAACGACTGCTGAAACCTGCTCAAGCAGCCGAAACGATTAAAGTCAAAACAGTCAGAACAGAAGCTAAAAGGTAAATTAGCAGTGAAACCGTAGAAAGTTAGTGAATGTAAGAAAGCAGCTACAAGCTAAAATTAACTGAACTGTGGCTGAAACCTAAGACCAGCAAGAGAGTAGCTAAAAGACAAAAATTTGCAAAACAGTACTTGAGCTAAAACTAGAACAGCTGCTAAAAGCCTAATCACCAAAACAGTAGCTAAAAGTTAAAATGAGAAAGACTAACTAAAAGCTAAAGAGAGCTAATAATATAAGAGATCAAATTAACAAAACAGTAGCTAATAGGTACATTTTGCTAAACAGTTCCTAAAATAACAAAACACTACTCTTTGACATCATCTTCAGTATTCTTGCTCTAGCTTTAAGCTACTTTTAGCCTTTAGCTAAACTTTTAATGCTTTTAGCTACTATTTTGTTACTTTTGACATGTAGGTTGCCTTTTGCTACCTATAGCTTCTAACTAGCATGTTGCTACTTTTGGCTATTGGCGATTATTTCCAAACTTTTAATTTTTAAATAGCTTTTTAAAAGTTTTAGCTTTGAGCTAGCATTTTGGTAATTTTAGCTGTTACCTAACCTTTTGTTATTTAAGTTTTTAGCTAGCCTTTTACTATGCACAACTTCTATTTAGTCTATTGCTACTTTTAATTTTTAGCAAGTATTTTACTACCTTTTTTAAAAATTAACTCTGCCTTTTCTTAATACTGGCTTTTAGCTACCTTTTTGCTACTTTTAGCTTTTAGCTAACTGTCAATATTCACTTCTCTGAGGAATGCTAACCCTTAGATTTCAAAACTGTGTGTTCTTTAAAAGCTGCTGTGACTCTAACTTTATTTTGGCAGTTTTTGTTGGATGTTTAGCGGGTCTGATTCAGAACAACCCACATGTGATGGGCAGAGACGCTCTGATTTCCCAGATTTGTTCGGTTGCATCATCTCCATGACCCCTAAAATTACTCACAGATATTTTAAGACACGTCAGATCCGTGTAAACGGCTGATGCCTTACGTAGTCGATGGAGCTTTTGGGAAAGAATTAAGGAACCATTTACCGTCATTCTGCAAAAGAAAAACAGTTGCTCAATGTAATAATAATAAAAGAATTAAGCCTAAGTTAACTGTTAAGAGTTTAAAATGTGTTCTGTAAATCTGCCTTTTATTAAATGGAGGAGGATTCACCAAAAAAATTAAATTAAATAAAGATTTAGTCACTCAGGATCAAAATCCTGGATTTGGCTCTTTACGTAGACGCTGTGGTCATTTATTACAAAATGCTTATAAAGAAAAATCATACTTTGAGAAATTAATTTTTTATTTCATATTATTATTATTTTAAAAATACTAATGAGTTTTATATGTCTCAATATGTAGATTTTAATTTCAATTACACTTAAATTGAGCAACTAACTGAGAAATTATTAAGATACAATCAAAAGAGCCTGAGATCGACAGACTGATCAGTGCAGCTTCTGAAGTATTGTGGACTCTGTGCCGGTCCATTGTGGTGAAGAGGGAGCTGAGCTGCAAGAAGCTCTCTGTTCACAGGTTGGTCTACGTTCCTACCCTCACCTGTGGTCATGAACTCTGAGTAGTGACTGAATGAACGAGATCCTGGATCCAGGCGGTCAAAATAAATTTTCTCTGCAAAGTAGCTGGACTCTCCTTTAAGATCAGGTGAGAAGTTCACTTCTCCACGAGAGACTCGGAGTAGAGCTGCTGATCCTCCACATCCAGTGGAGACCGTTGAGGTCAGTGGTATATCTGATAAGGATACCTCATTGATAACTCCATATGGAGGTTTTCTGGGCAACTGGGAGGAGACCCCAGTGAAGACACAGGACACACTGGAAAGACTATGTTTCCCTGCTGGACTGGGAACACCTTGGAGTCCTCCCAGAAGAGCCGGCTGTGGAAATGAGATGTATGGACCTCCCTGAGCAATGCCACCAAGACCTGAGTCCAGAACAAGATGATGGATGGATGGATGGATGGATGGATGGATGGATGGATGGATGGATGATCAGTTCTTGTAAAATATTTGTGTGGACATATGGAAAATGAATGGAAGTCAATGCAAAGCCCCTGTAAAGAAAGACGGTATATGTGCTTGTAATTGTGTGTGTGTGTGTGTGTGTGTGTGTGTGTGCGTGCACGTGTGTGTGTGTGTTCTAACAAAAAGGATAAAAGCTCCAAAAGTAAAGCCAACAACTGCAGAACATTCCCCAGGAACTGAACTGAGTCAGCAGAAAGAAGCAGAATGTGAGAACGTCTGCACCTTTATGGTGTTTAGAAAAAAAAAAAAACACTTAGAGTAAGACGGTGGCAGAGGTCCAGCACCTGAAAAATGCCCCGTTAACTCCGGCAGAATCTCTTATTACTCGTTAAATTAAGAGCCTGTGGTTCTTTAACGGTTTAGCGTCTGTTTGACACCACGAGAGAAAGTTTTATGAAGTAAAACTCTACAGCTCAACTTTGTAACCACGAGGTTTAAGTTTTTGGATCTTGGTGAAGACGTTTATAATCTACAGAAATCCCCTTTTCTGTGAAAACACAGCGTGAGCGCCAAACGACAACTGAAACCTGTTCAACCTGCCGAAACAATTCAGGTTAAAACAATCAGAAAAACAAAGCAAACCAGAAGCTACAAGTTAAATTATGAGTAAGATAGTAGCTAAAAGCTAAAATGAGCAAAACAATAGCTAAGGGTTAAAATTTAAACACTATTTTTGTCTTCTTTAGCTACTTTTAGCATTTAGCTAAGCTTTTTTTTTTTTTAAACCAACCTTTTGCTATCTATAGCTTCCAGCTAGCAAGTTGCTATTTGTAGCTATGGGGTAGCAATTTGCTACATTAAATTTTTATGTAGCTTTTTACATTTTTATTTTTTACCTAGCATTTTGTCACTTTTAGTTTTTAGCTAGTCTTTTGCTACTTAAAGCTTCTGGGTAGTCTTTTCTGCTTTTAACTTTTAACTAGTCTTTTGCCACTATTGGCTATCTTTTAGCTACTTTTAGTTCTTTGCTTGCTACATTTTATTTTTAAGTAGCTTTTTACCACTTTGCTTTTAGCTAGCCTTTTGTTAATATTAGTATTTAACTTCTATTACAGCTTCTAGCTAGTCTTTTGCTACTTTTAGCTTGTAGCTAGTATTTTTGCTAAATTTAGCTAGCATTTTGCTTTTTTTTTAAGTATTGGCTAGCTATTTGCTGTGTTTATTTTTTAAGTAGCTTTTCACAACTTTTAGCTTTAACTAGCTGTTTGGTAATTTTAGCTTTTAACTTAGTGTTTAACTAGTCTTATGTTACCTTTAGTTTGTCACTAGTCTTTAGCTACTTCTAGCTTCTAACTAGTGTTTTGCCACTTGTAGCTTGTCTTTTGCTACGCATTTAGCTAGCTTTTTGCTACTTTCAGCTAACATTTAGCTACTTTTAGCTTTTACATGGGGCTTTTCTCCCTTTTATCAACGCAGTTTCAGCTTGTTTAGCAGTTTTCATCGAAGTCATTCGGCTGCCAGTGTTCACGATGCGTCTTTTGTTGTTGTAAAAACAGTTTTTCTGAACTTCTCATCAGAGTTTGCTGATATATATTTTGGTTCAGACTGAAATATTTCCATGAAGCTTTGATGGATTCTTATAAAACTGTTCCTGGTCCCCTGAGGTTTTCCCTCCAGCACCTCCTGAAGGTCCGGCATTCATTTGAGTGAGTCCTGTTGACGTTATTAATGTCAGCTTTTACACTCGTAATTTATTTACCTTTGCTCTGATCTCTCGGACCCGAGCAGACCCGGACACCTGCTTTGTTTGGAACCGGATGTTCAGCTCCAGCAGGTTGAGGTACTTATCATAATTTGAATATGCTGCACAAACACGGACTCTCAACACGCCGAGTCTGCGGCTTTAAATGCCAAACTCTTTGGCCTTTAGAACCCTGAATTACACGGGACTCGTTTGGCATTTTTATTCCTGGTGACACGTTTCAGATAAAAGCTTCACGGAGAGTTGGTTCACAGATACCAGAGAGGAGCAACATCAGGAAATGCTTCAACTACACCGTGTTCAAACAGTGTGGTTTTTAATTCAAAGTACGACCAGGGCTATTTGTTTGTTAAATCGACACTGGTTTGATGACAGTCGTGTGTATTTTTTAGTCAAATTTGTGACAATTTTGCATTTTAGCTTTGATTTTATTATACTATTCTTATGAAAACAGAATTTATACATAAAAATAAGATGATGGTCAGAATTTAGTCATCAAAGTGTAAAGTAAACACATAGGAAGGCCTTCTAGAAACTTCAAAGTCTTATCCAATCAGAAACCAGTTCTGGTGATTTATCCAATCAGAAACCA